TGGACCTAAAAAGTATGGAGAGCCATTTGTAACCTTAAAATAAAATATATTCGAAAGCAAAAAATTTAAGTATTTTAGACCTTTCATAAATTCCACATCAAGAACATGAAATCTCCTTGATAATAAAAAATGCAAATGATTTGAATCAACATTTCATGCATTTTAGAATAACTTTTACAAAATATTTTCATAGATGCTAACAGCTTTCCATAATTGTTAAGTCAAACTTAGGATCTTTGTGAAACACCCCTCTGGATTGAGTACTGCTCTATCGTATATATTATCTCCAAGACGGTTGTACGACACTTGCTCCTGCGACAATTGTTTCGCGTCAGGATCCTACACGCACCAAATTTCTAACTTCAACCTCGGACCTTAAATATGACTGTAAAGGTAAAGATTTCTGATATAATACTTGTAATGAGACAGCGTACTGATATGCTGATCATACATTTATTAAGTGTATCTTTGGATGCAGCGTATGTGACTGCATATCAATATCACAGCATAGCAACGTTATATTCATACACATTAAATATATGATATTACGTGTCCCCAGCCGTAAACATTATTACCTTAAAGGTATAGACCAGTTCTGGTCATGCGATTGCATTGTGGAATCAATCAGAAAAGGTTGATCATCTAGCATATAAATGTTGGTGTGTACTGCAAGGTTCTGGAATCATCAAAATGATAAGAAATTTGGGCCAATCCTGGTAAAATTACAAGCACTGTACACAGAAAGATGTATATGGGACTAGCTACCCTATATCTATCCAGTCCAGATATTTATAATAATTTACCAAATATATTAATTATTAGGCCGTTTTTTAGGCAATATTTGTATCATCACGTATTAGTCAAAACATATTAATTCACGTAATTGGTTATAAGAGCTTCCATTTCATTTGTTGAGAGAGGGGGGGGGGGGTCCAAAACTGGTCTTTACCTTTAATTAAAAATAAAGTGAAACCTTAACCCTATTTGTTTCATGAAGTAAAGCCTGGATCATGGGATCAAATGTTCACTCTCCATGGCAACTTTTGTAACAAGCATCTCCCCTCATCCACAGGGTTCCTTTATTATACAATAGCAAACAGCAATAGCAAGTTTTATGAAATAGGACCAAGAGTTACTTTGAGCCATTTTGTCTGGAAATGGGATTCCATTATGTTGGCCCTCTTGGTTTAAAAGTTGCAATGTCAAACACGACCCAAAACTTAAGTGCAATTACTAATTGGTTGAAAATATAATTTTTAATTTCAACTTTTTATGGAAGAGTCCCCAGAATGTGATATTGACTGTGAGGTTGTTTTGTGTGATTGTAATTTTGGTAAGTATATTTACAGTACCATGTTGTACTTCATTGTATGCATTCTGTCTAGGTTCACCCTAGTCCAGAATCTGGCCTATTTAATTTTGATTTCCACCACACCAACGCTACCTCTCCCTACTTGCTACCAGCCGATGATGGCATGATTATTAAATTAGGATGCCCGGCTGGGATGGTGAGCATAATAATGAGTTTGTTGATAACGCCATCTTCGACGGCTTGAATCAAGTGTGTGGGGAATTATAGAGGACCGGGCAGATTCTGGACTAGGTTCACCCAAGTTGTGTCAGTCACACCCCAAAAGTTTACAGATTTTCTCAACTGCACTCATTCCTATCAGGAGTCACACTACAGAGTGATTAGTGATGTAAATACTGTATATATTAAACAGAGACCATATTTGTCTATATTTCTGAATTGAAAAGTTGACAGGAATGAGGGAATTTTGATAATGTATATGTGGCCCAACTCTACATGTATGTATGTACATCTACAATTCAGGGATTAATTGATAATGTTTTGTTTTCTTCTTTGTCTTCTATTTTTATTATCAGCAGATGTGTACCAATTTTTGTAGGCCTTTTGCTTTGTATATACATGTACTATTTAACAAAGACAAATTTTTTCTATCTTAAGTCCAAATTTGGCAGGAATGAGTGAAAATGTGATAATGTATATCTGGCCAAACTGTAAAAACCGGTACACAATTCATGGAATATTCCAGTATATTTAATATATATATATATATATATATATATATATATTCCATTTGAATTATCAGGCCTCTGAGAAGATCAGTTTTGTGTGCCTCTTGCTGAAGGCCTGCATGAATGAACAAAGTGGTCATGTGATTTGATATTAGCTTTGATGCCAAGAGCTACTTGTATGCATTCAAATCCTGGAATCAGTGACGTATTGAAAATGTCAAAATCACTATTTAAAAAAAAACAAAACAACTGGTATACCATGATGTGATTACTGTAAGACGTACTTTTTATCAGTGTATAAATCAATATTCTTTGAAGGTACATGATTTTGATGAGAAAGATATAGCAATAAAAGAACCTTTCCAATTTCAAGAAGAATATCTGATAACTGTACCGGTATTCCAAATCAGATGATCTTATAGATTACAGATTATTATAGATTTCATTATGACTGTGTTCATAACAATCATGTTTATATGTACAGAGTATGAGCCAAAGATTAAAGTTTGTGTTGTATTTCTTATTCAGAGTCTGAATTTATGATTCATTTGTATGGTTTAAATCCAGAGGGAGGGAGGAAGAGAGAGAGGGAGGAAGAGAGAGAGGGAGAGAGGGGAAGGGAGTGAGAGATGAGGGTACATGGGGTGAGGTTGTTGTTAGATTATGTTTTAAGGCAATTCAGTCCAAACTAACTAATAGTTACCCTACTCCCACCCTCATCTCCCTCTCTCCTATTCCTTTTTCTCTATTCAGGCATAGTGCCTGAATAGAGAAAAAGGAATAGGAGAGAGGGAGATGAGGGTGGGAGTAGGGTAAATATAGATGTGTGTGTGTGTGTGTGTGTGTGTTTTTGGCGGGACAGATACAGTGAGCAAGGGAATAGAAAGAGGAGATCAAGAGCATATAAGAGATGTAGAGATGAATAGTCAATGTGTTCCAAGAAGAGAGGGATGAGAGAAAGGAGATCAAAACCATGGAGCATATGAGCCGATTAATGGTGGATCCAGATCGAATGGGGGCTCTAATCCTTATCCTAATTACCCAAACCATAATCCTGACCTTGACCTTAACTTTTAAACCCTACATAATCTTAAGTACACTATCATTCATGAGATATGTAGTCTGAATAAATAAACCATATTATCATTATATCACTATAATAACACACGCACTTAGGATGGCTGCATGGTATAGGTAAAAAAAAAAAGATGCGGCCAGTTAATAAGTATTTTTTTATTATTAGGAGAAAAATGAGAAGAACAGATCAGTAAACATTTAAATATATAGATCTAATAAAGTTATGGATTTTTTAAATCCTTATAACTCTTCATGAAATACCCTAAATCTGTGAGTCATATTGGCAATGCGGTCTCTTTTTCTCCATTCAGGCATAGTCAGTTTGGACTGAATTGCATTAAAACATAATCTAACAACAACCTCACCTCATGTTGGCTACAGCGAAATTTCTAAAGCTGGTTTTCTTGAAGTCGACCAAAGATCAAAACAACTCGTATTGCATCACGTGCATAAAATATATCATACTAGGTCGAATCATTATATTCGATCCAACTTCGATCTTGTTACTGACGTACATGATTATAATACAAGAAATAGACGATTTAACTTTAACTTACCAGAAAGAGTAGGTAGTATTGGAAATTCGTTTTATTACAATGCCATAAAACATTGAAATTCCCTTCCCAATGGTGTAAAAGAAATAGGAAACTATGATCATTTTAAGAGGAAATTAAAGGAATACCTAATACTTGACAATCAGAGAAGAGAAGTGAATGACATGTTATATGATTGAAATTTTTATTCTTCTGTCGGTTCATACTTTTTCATGTTGTATATACTTATGTTTTCGTACGTTATAGAAATTCTACAAATTCATCATTATTTTCCTCTTCTTCCTTCTCCTTTTTTTCTTCTTCTCCTTCTTTTTTTTTCTTCTTGTACTTAATATCATTTCTATCATCAGTTTAATGTTGTTATTATTATTATTATCTTTAATACGTAGTTCTTTTAATTTTCTTATCTGTCTGTAAATATTACTATTTTAACTTATTAATTGTATACATGTCTGTAAGGGACCCCACTGGAAATAAGCTTGTCGAATAAAAATCAATCAATCAATAAGCCAGTTTCGTAATGTAACCAAATTTAATGCATACGTCTTTGTGAAGTGCCTCAATACAAATTATTTCATTCACCTGATAAGAATAATAGTATTTCAATAGTCAGAATGCAACTGCATATATTAAGTGTTGCTAGGTAGGTCAAGCCATAATGTTTGTCCAACCTGGCAACAACTTAATATATGCAGTTGCATTCTGACTATTGAAATACTATTATTCTTATCAGGTGAATGAAATAATTTGTATTGAGGCACTTCACAAAGACGTATGCATTAAATTTGGTTACATTACGAAACTGGCTTATTTAAATATGATTTCACCTCCCTCACATGTTACACTTTTTTTAATGCAAGAAATGTCAATAAAATTCAATTTGTATCAAAAGATATATTTTCTTTCTGCCGATATATTTCGATATCACGGATAATTACATTTGCATTTGCTTAATGCACGCCCATATAAGATAAGTCCACTATAGGCACTATTCCATTCACATTCAGAGATTTGGGGTCATTTTGTCATTCAGATCAGTGAACTGTGAGGTGATGACATCACAACATTCTGATCGCTTTGCCAATTAGTCTCAGAGTCCATGATTTTGACAGATTCATCAGTTTCTTACATGTTGTCCGATTTTTCTCAAACTTTCACTTAATTGTTTCTCTCATTTCTATTAAAAAAAAATTAATATCAGGGTGTACTTTCAATTTTCAGCTGGTAATTAGAGCTCTAGCTAGGGGGAGGTCGCATTTTGAGACCAAAATTAAATCGGCCAGATTCGGGCTAAGGCTAAGCGCGGCGCCACTTTTGTCTCATGAATATTCATAAGAGCGCAAGATGGCGGGGTTGTCAGCAGACGCCAAAATAGTTTTCATTTTGCTCTTCGCTGCGGTAAAGATTCTCGCAATCGCAGCGCAGACAACGGCTTCCGTGGAAACCACACCAAACCAGCAAGGCACAAGTAACCCAGCAACAACAGCAACCACTCCTGTTCAACCTCAGACCACCCAAAATGCCGAAACAACACAGCCTCAGCAACAAACAACAAACCTTCCTACAGCTTCACCTTCTACAGAAGTGCCTGCGAATACAGGTAAAAGCCTACGTAGATAATTTGTGTGGTCCCATATGTAGACATTTGTGTTGGAACGTTATTCTTATGTTTCATCATCACCAGGGATTTTTGTATTCGCTGGCCATTCTAATCTATTTAATTATAGCCTGGTTTCACCCAATATGAGTTTAATAAAGCTAAGTTATTCTCATACTCAGGAGTCTCGTGTAGACCTACACCGTACATAGTCAACAAAGAAATAGAATTCATTGAATCTCTTTAAAAAAGTATGGCGGTGTGACCAAAGTTCGCGCGTGACCAAAGTTTGCTTTCTCAAAAAATCGGTAAGATTTCGAAAATCTGATATCACCAATGGAAAGAGGGTCATAGAATTACCCAGAAACGAAATTTTCTTTAGAATTGGGTGCGAAATTGTGAAAATATTGACAAAAGATCGGCAAATTTTGCAGTTATTTGCGTCCGTTCCGAAAAATTATCAACTTACCGATAAGGGTCTGGAAATCTTCATTTTGAGATCAGAAATCCTCAAAATTGTAAGTAAAGAGTGGTACTAACTGATTGTACGATATGTTGCCTTGCAAATTATGATATTACCTTATTTTTGATGGATCACATTTTTTGATAAATCAACTGTAAACCACCGTGCATGAAGTTAGGTCTCATTGTTTTTATGACTTTTTTAGATGCAGGCGCACGCACGATCAGACATCGAATTTTTAGATCGCGATATCTCCGAAATCCTTCGACAGTAAATTTTTCTAGTTGAACCAATCTGTTGTAAAAAACTTTGCCGTCCATTCGGTAATAATTGAAATAAATAAAGTTGTGTAGAATGTGAGAAATCATAGATCGAATATCACATTTTGTAATATGTTCTAAAATGTCCGCGAACTTTGGTCACCCCTTCATACCATTTGAAAGAGCATGAAAAATACATCTAAAATGATACCAAGTCCAAGATCATCACCCTAGGTCAACAAATAGCGAGAATAACAATAGTTTAATGTTGGGAAAAACCACCCATTTTTGGTCCTCCCCCCCCCCCCTTATACAAGTCAATGGAGGGTTACTCGATCATTTGTGACCATTTTTAACTTGCATCGCATCGGCAAACGGCAAGATTCGCAGCTGGGGGCTTCGATACTCAATGCCTGCACTCTATTATACTATTACTATTAGTAGTCTACAAAATCACCCAAGTTTACTCAAAATCACCACTTTTTTCAAGTGACAATTGATGACACCTAGACTCTAGAGTCTAAATAAAGACCAAAATAATAGCAGTAAAATGCCATCAATAAGTGAATAATAATCAATTCAACTCATCGTTGTTGGAAGAAATAAAATTAATTAAAATTGGACTTCTATTCAATCCTGGCGGAGAGCTGCTTCGTATTCATTGTGTGTAATTCTTGGTCACCACACTTGCTGATCTCAGGTGTATAAACTTAATATAGAGCCTACACAAATTTGATAATAAGAAAAATTGATCCATACCATGCCCCACATACAGTTAGGGTGTCTGATCGCGCACCCGATGATGTGTGCTAAAATACTTCCCATAGAGATTGCACACATCCCTATGCAGTCTACGTGCATTGCGCGACCATGAAAATTGGTCAATGATTTTATGAAAAAAAATTGAAATTCAAACCTTTGGGGCTTGTGATCCTGAAGGTGAAACTCAATAAATGAGGTGTCATATGAAAGAGCAGGTTTTTCTCCATATTCACCAAGGGGGCGCACCCCCGAAATTCTAAAAATATCTTGGTCAAAACAGCGATTTAAATGTTGTTTGCATCCTAGCTCCAAAATTTGCCACCTTCCTGAGCTGCGTCCCCCGGGCTTATGTCCGGCTAGACGTAAGGAAAATATGTATGCACTTATTTTTTCGTTAGCCCCAAGAGATCACTCGCCCCAACAGTTTAAAATTACCCTTCCCACATTTTTGGAATCAGCTAATTAGGGATGCATGAGCTCCACTCAGTCCAAACCATGGTTACATCGCGTAACATCTGCGCGTATAGTGAATGAAAGTATGGATAGCTGTTTGCGCCATAAACCCCGGAAGTGAATACACGTTATAGTCAATGGCAATATCGCGGAGACAACGCACGTTGTCTCCGCGATATTGCCATTGACTACAACGTGTATTCACTTCCGGGTTCTGTGGCGCGAACGTACTAGTCAATGGCACATATCGCGGAGACAGCGTGGCTCAAGGTGCAAGTCTCGCATTGGCTTAGCAACATGCGTACGATATGCATACGCTTGCATATCGCGCGATACAGCTGTTTGTCTGAATTTAGCAAAACAACAACACTCTGCGTGGACTTTTTTTTCGTCGATTTTGACCAAAATGATATGAATATACCAGCGTTTTGGAGGGGCTGTATCTTTTGATAGAAACATCGGTGAGACTTGAAATTTGAAATGTATTATTCTGATTACATTTTTTTATTCAAATAACAAACAAAAATGGTGAAAAACGATCCCAAATTGAAAATTGAAAAATCGTTCAGACACCCTAATACAGTACATAAAACTCAATTGTCTAACCAATTGTAGGGACCGAGTGTGCGAGTCCTAGAAATTTTTCTTCTACTTACTTTGTTGTAGCCTAGGGCTAGTAAGGTGAGGTTTAACTCAGACTAACAAGTTAAGACTTGGATCTAGAATTTTTTTCTAACATCAGTGAGTTGAATTTAATGTATTTTGCTAGCTGTCACTAATAGCTGCATGAATATGACACCCTCTATTTTATCTCAAAACCCTCTACACCACTGTACAAGACTTCACAGAATTCACTCAAAATCGTCACAATTAATAACACCAAAATAGCAGAAAATATAATCAATTCAAAGTTTCAAACTCACCTTGTGTGAATCTCTGAGGCAAAACCACCAAACAAACAGATTTTTGGTGTTATGAACCCAGTTTTTTGTGGCCAAATTATAATTTAAGTGTACCAAAACTATCGCCTGAAAAAACAATACGTAACAGCATTTTCTTTTCTTCTCCTTTCCTAGATCTCAAACTTTCTCTTTAATTTGGTGAATCAACAATTTCTTTCTTTTTCTGTTTACTTCTGTCAGATATTGGGACGTGCATCTGTGATTTGACTGGTAATCGCTGTGATGTGAATTGCTGTTGTGATCCTGATTGTTCATCAGCAGATGTTGCCACCTTCAGCCAGTGCTCTGAGAACGCTTATGTGTAAGTGACCCTTGAACTTTGACCCTTGAACCATGATGAGGTCATCCCTGGAGCAGCTTTTCCAAGCTTTACTGGGATGGAATGTGTTGTGACAGCAGGTGATGGTGCAGAAAACAAGAGAAAGATGTACAGTTTCTATATACATTAAAATAGTGACGTGCAAGTAACATTCATGCTTCTATAGGGCCTAAAAAAAGATGTTGTATTGCCCTTTGCAACCAACCCCAAAATCTTGAAATCTACATGTACAGTCGGCTTTTATAAACTAAAAAATAAAAAAATACATTTTTGTTTAGAAGAAACAAATTATTAAAGCATCCAAAACTGAGAAATATCAGCCCAAAGAGGGAGTAATTTTTTTTTTTTTTTAAGAAAAAAAAAAGAAAAAAAAAAAGATTTCTGACCAACCGACCCATGTTTTGGCACCTAATTGGCAATCATTTTTTTTGTAAGGCCAAGTTTACAGCATCCTGGAACCTAAAGGAGGACGAGGTTCCAACCCTCTGATTTCAAGAAGGGCGGCCTCCTGGAAAGTAGCAACTTTTAGCTCATCAGTTATTGTAAGGTATTTCAATATGTGAAATCCTCTTTGCATACATTAGTTATTGCTGTGTCGGGTAATCCTCAGGAAAATGTTCAGGTTGTCAGGAATAACTTCTTTCTTAAAACGCTATGTACATGTATAAGATCTGACTATGTTTAAAAGTAAACCTGTCTATTGTGAACAAAATATGAGATATGAATTTTTAATTTGTTTTTCTCATTCATTTTGTTTATCAAACTTGCTCAATAAAGAAGAGATGATAGAAAACACAATTTAAGCAATGAAGTGGTAGATATAGGACATGGAACATTACATATAATTTGGACATAAATTCTGGAAAAATCTATGTGAAAAGATGATTGATATTCGTAAAATGCTGATTTTCTTCTCCCTCTTTCAGTGTTGAAGACAAAGTTTGTTTAAGAAGCTCGGTCATCTTCAATAATAATGCTGAACCAGAGACGGTGGATGTGACAGATCCAAGTCTGTTCTGCATCACCAGAGATAACTGTAAGTGAAAACGGGGCTGCTCATACACACACACACATCGATAAGGGGTGTGGTTTCACATATATACATTGTACTTGTAAGCAGAGGCAATTTGAAGTGAAAAGGGGGCTACTCAAATACACACATGTACATGTATAAGGGGTATGGTTTCACTTATACTTGTAAGGGGGGGGGGGGTAATTTAAGTGAAAACAGAGCTGCTCTTACATATACATCTACCAGGGGTGCTGTTTCACATATACTTGTAAGCAGGGGTAATTTAAAGTGAAAACAGGACTGCTCATACACAAACATCTATAAGGGGTGTGGTTTCACATTGTATTAAAGCAAGGGTAAGTTAAAGTGAAAACAGGGCTGCTAAGAAAAAACACTTACAAGGGGTGTGGAAACGCATATATATACTTATAAGCAGGAGTAATTTAAAGTGAAAACAGGGCTGCTCATATACACACATCTACAAATTAGGGGCGTGGTTTCACTGATACTTGTAAGCAGGGGTCATTCAAAAATGAAAACGGGGCTACTCATTCACATACATCTACAAAGGGTGGGGTTTCACATATAAGTGGGGGTGATTTGAAGTGAAAACAGGGCCACTCGACATTCCCCTCTGACTTTTTCATTCAATTTAGATGCAGAAAGAAATTTTTACACTGTTCCTCAGACGGTTGAGACAGTTGAGCGGTTCTACGAGCTGAGTGACCAGTATGGATCTACATCCTATGCCAAGCCATCGGAGGACACCAATGCTACGTACAGTGATTTCTATAAGGTGAATATATCATACAATTGATGAGTGCTTCCAAGTGCCATTAACGAACATGCACTGTCATATTCTTGTCTCAAATCACCTTCGATGCCATGCACATGTCTGTGTTTAGATCTGCATTAAAAAGAGCTTATGTGTACATATACAGTCGAACCTGTCTATAGCGACCGTCCAAGGCAATTTAACACAAAAAGTGGTCCTTGTAGACAGGTTCCTTTAGTACTGTGTCAATGACAAACCATTTCAAGGGAAACAAGTACTCCCTTAAACAGGTTTGACTGTATATCCAAGCGTTTATTAACCTGCCTCTGCCAATTAGACTGAAGGTGGTGCCACCCAGCCATTATTTTGTGGGGCTTTCTGTCCCTCTGTCCAATGTTCTCATTATCGTGATATCTTTAGAACCCTTGTGTGTTTCACCATAGTGGGACGAACCAATAAGATTTTTTTTTTTTTTTTGGGGGGGGGGGTGTATAAATAAATCATAGGTGAAGGTTCATCTAGAAGCCGTAATCTGGAGGTAAATTTTTATGAAATTTTCAGTTTAAGTGTTCATTCACGATACATGTATCTCAATAGCTCAAGTATTTGAGATATGCACTTCAAACTTAGTAGTTGGTATAATTGCTTGTATTACTCTTCTTTTGTTCTCTCTCAGTCTGGAGATGTAGTCTACACGCTGTATGAATCACTAGCCCTAGGCCAACTTGGGCTACCACGAGGGCTAACATCCGATGTGTGTGAAGACAGTAACCCTGCAGGTAATAGGATACAAATATTGACTGCTAAGAGAGGCATCGCTGTTTCTATAGGCTGAAGGGGTCATACTCATAGCAGGATGTAACCTCCCCGAGAGCCAGTATAGAAACAGCTATGTATTGACTGCTATGAGAGGCATCGCTGTTTCTATAGGCTCAAGGGGACGTTACATCCTGCTATGACCCTGCTACAGTGTAGATGGCTAGATTTATTCAACATACTAAAGAGAGGTATTACTATCGACTCCTGTGACAAGCATGGTCAAGACTATTGCCATAATATGAACTGAAATCATCATATGCAGTATAATTTATATTTATAAATACTTACATAATAGCCAAACTCTAGTGCAGAAAGGCTTTAGGAATACATAATTTTCTATTGAGAGACTGAATATCATCCCATCTTTTCCTTACAGCCTACTTGTTTAATCAGGAAGTGACCTGCACTCGTGCGCTCACCAGTCTTCAGACAGATTGTGAACAGCAACCATTCTTATCTGCTAGGACCTACTATGAAGGCTTCAAAGTCATTGGTGTAAGTTGAGTGTCATTGCAACCTGGGTTTAGATTTTCTACTGCATATTACTTGAAAGACCAGGAGGGGTTTTCACAAAAACTAAGATCGACTTTAAGTTGAACTATGGCAGGCCGTTCATGCCACTGTTTGCTATCACCATTATGATCTTTAGATATTTCTTCCTTCAATAATAAATTATTAAAAAATGTAATCTATGACTATGATTTTAATGTCCCTTGAGAGACCAATGCCAATGAATGGTGAGAGCAAACAGTGGCATGAACAGCCTGTCATAGTCGATCTTAGTCTTTTGCACCATCTGGGAAATGTGTGATGGCTTCTGCTTCATGACGTCAAGCCAGATCTTCCTATCTTCTTATGTTCTGGTCGCTTCTGTGCGGGATCCCAGACATCTGGTAGCACAATCGGCCTTTACACAATCTATCCATTTCTTGGCTGGTCTGCCCCGGGGTCTATCACCATGGATATTAGAAACATGATGAAGATATTAACATCTGAGGGTCTTTCATATAGGGGTACTTCTATTGAGGTACTATATTCGCAAAGTAAAAGTAGGTCCTCAATTGTGTAGTAAATTTCCATGTCATCTTCGGAGAGGTGTGTGTAATGTAGGTGTGTGTAATGGGTTTTTACGGACCTGATTCAGTTATTTGATTGGTTACTTCTATCTGGAAAAGTACTATCAGCTTATATCTGCCTTCATTATCCAAAGCTGCCAATAATCTCGATTTGTCAAAGAACAGTTCTTATTTCTTAGCTATCAAAAAAATGTTATCAATTCTGGATTCTTCTTCTTTGTCAAGGAGTGGGGGGGGGGGGGGGGGGACAAATTATGTGTAGAAGCATTTATAATATACTGGATTATTATAAATACCTTCATAGATTCCTAATTTCTTCTGTGAAAGGTGGGCAAGTTTTATCGTCCACGACCCATTTTTCTTTCTTGGCTCTCCAGACCCCACAATTCTTACAAGACAACCCCCTCCCCAGCCCTATTCTGGTCAACCTAACAACCTCCATGCCTGAGGCCACTACCACCACTCCGATGACCACACCCACTGCCACCACCCCGACCCCTGACCCCGGCGCCGCCACGTTGGATCCCAACGCGACAGTCATCGACGAGTTCACAACCCTTGTCCCCGTGACGGAGCTCCCTGGATACTCGTTCTACGATGAAGCAGGTTTGGTGAATATTTCCATTCGGTTACCGGTCCTGTGTCGGATCGTCTTTGGTTTCGTGGTGGACTGCAACTACACGACGGAGGAAGTTCCGTTTCCGGTGTATAATGCGTCCAGCGGAACGTGCCAAGACGTAGTTCTTGAGGTGAGTATTAGTCTACATGAAGCCGGAAGAGCGTTTATTTGTTAAATGATATAAGATGACGTCCTTCTGGCTCAAAAAAATGTTTTGCTGTTAGTCTGTCAAATGTGAACATAGTTTTTTCGTGAATAATAATGGCGGGATTAAAAACGATGATGATGAGGATGATTATTTATACGAATGGTGCATTGGAGATAATTTTGATGATGATGGTGATGTTTATTTATGACAAAGAGAATGTTGATGTTGTGCAATGTTCATCCTTGTGATGGTGAGGGTGAATAGCTGATAATTGAGAAGATGATGATGATTATGCAATAATGTTTATGATGCAGATGATAAAGGTCAAAGGTGACATCAGTTTTCATGACATAAGTTATCATTGTAATGATGATGATAATGATAATGATAGATACATGTAGATAGATAGATAAATGGTATTTATTGATTCAGTTCCATTTATCGCAGTTACAAGTAACTGAATTGTGCATGAATAAAACATTGATGGTGAAGGCAATTATACATTTCAAGAGATATCACAGTAAAAAGTAACTGAATTGCACATGAGTAAATTGCTGAAAAAAATGATGAGATGATGTTAATGATTGTGCTTAGTAGTGATAGTGATTACGCACAGAGGTTAGGCACTATGACTGACAAGGATTTTTACCTGCATGGTTCCTGCCTCCTCTGTGCATGCACATTTATTACTCTTTGAGACTAGTTTAACGCATATTCTTTTTCACCTGCTCTGTACCCAGGTCAAATACATCATTACCCATAATTCAACCGATGGCATAGAGGAAGTAGAGGTCGAGCTGCTACTGGGGTCATTGACCTCAACTGACCTTTATCCCTCCCAGACCTTTTCTACAGAGTTTATCAAGGTAAGTTCAAATTCTCCCCCAAACACATCAACTACAGTTACTAAGTAAGATATAAATGGGAAAATTTACGACACTTGCTCTTGGGCCAATTGCTCTGTGTCAGTTTCCTTCGCTATTTTTTTTTTTTATTGTTTTGTAATATGTGTTTGCATTTGATTATATGATTCATGTTGTATGTATTTTTGATACTTTCTATTGTTTTCTCAATTTGTTTCTTTATTCCTCTGCCAATGTTTTTTCTGTATTTGTCTGTATAATCTCTCTCTCTCTCTCTCTCTCTCTCTCTCGCTCTCTCTGTTGTTATTTTACATTTCATTATCTTTCTCCCTCTTTCCCTCTCCCTACCGCTCGCTCTCAATTCTCTCCCTCTATCCTTATTACTTTCTTTTTCTTATACTCTCTATCTCCCCTTTTCTATTTCCTCTCTCTCTCTCTCTCTCTCTCCCTCTTTTTCTGTCTTTTTTTCTATCTCTCTTTTGTTCTCTCCGTCTCTCCTTATTACTCTCACTGTCCTTATTACTCTCTTTCTCTCTCTCTCTCCCTGTGTCTGATTCTCTTTTTCTGTCTATTTCTCTATCTCTCTTTTTGTTCTCTCCCTCTCTCCTTATTACTCTCACTCTCTCTCTCTCTCACTCTCTCTCTCTCTCTCTCTCTCTTTGTGCATGCAGCGTGATGAGGTGGATGTCTACCCCCGTAGCGGCAATCCTGGCTATGTGATTGGTCAACCCTTGATGGCCGGGAACCTAGTAGAAGAGACACAACCGGACGAGAGTATCAAATATCCTTTATTAAATCTAACATACCAAAAATCTTGTAATGCGATTGCTCTAAATGAGGAAACTTGGCGAAAAAATAGATTTTGTATCTAGACGGCTGCACTGATTGTAAAAATTATCACATTTGTGAGTTTTGTTGCAGGGATTGTAAAAACTATCACAAAAATATGTGATTTCTTTTTTTCCCCGACACCGAATAGACATGCACGCTGGGAGCTAATGGGCAACAGTTCTGCAATTACCGATACGAGTAGGCTATTTTGACGTGATGATAATAATAATAATAATATTGGATATTTAAATAGCGCACATATCCACCATGCAAGGTGCTCATGACGCTCCAATATTACCCCGGCTCTGCTAGGCTACCGATTTTGGTGCTCTCAAGCATTCAAGGAAGAACTTCCTACTGGTACCCATTCATCACCTGGGTGAAGAGTAGCAAATGTAGATTAACGTCTTGTCAAAGGACGACATTGGTGCCGCGGCGGGACTCAAAGCTTGGATCCTGTGATCATCGATCCACAGTCCGACAACTTAACTACTAGACCACAACACCTCTACAGTGCGAAGTCCCTGAGATTACCTCTGCAATGATTGTTTGTCCAATTGCCAGAGTAAAGAAAAGGATTAACAATTTGCTTATTATTTGAATGAAGTTTTGTGTCCACCAGAAAAACTGTTATATCTTACGCTGTTTATCTTACGATTGAACCTTAATTACTAATCCCTCTTAGTAGCTCCTAGAGGCTATCCCAGAATGATGATACATGTATGTTGTGTGGCAGTGTGAGCTAGGTGTCATGGCCATGGTGAAGTAAATGATAATTGCATTTTCACGTATAAACATGCGCCAGTAAAACATGTCAGAATATGAATCGTAGTAAACTTTAGTTTTTGCTATGTAGGGCAAACTTATGGCTTGCCTTAACTAAGAAGACATAATGGATGCCATTATAGGAACATTCTGTTGATACCAAATGCCACATCTATACTATTAGCCTTAACCCAGGTCTTACGCAGGCTATATCTGTAGGAGCTGATCCCGATAGCTGGCTTACGGTCGTTCGGAGCTCCGGCGACGGAACGTGCGTGAATGACTCCGATTCTCGCTTACCTATCACGTTTGGAGAGAATTTACGCAGCGGTTGCACTATCCAGTAGGTCAAAGTTCAAATTATAACAATTATTGTATGTCTGTTTATTTGTTTTACTTATCCACATGTATTACTGTAGTGAATATTTCCATGGAAGTGTATGTGGTTTTGACTTGTGTGGGTGTTTATAGTTTGGTTCTTTTTGTATTGGCTAAAAGAGGAGTTGAAAATTGAAAGTAATTGCCCAATAATAAGTAGTTTCATATCAAATGCACATATTTAAAGATAATTTTTTTTTCTTTTAAACAGTCCAGAGACTGATGCATACAGAGATTACATAGTTGCATTGTTCTACATTATATAAAAGAATCAAAAAATTGTACTAAAACTGGCAAGAAAAAAATAGAGATTAGTAATGAAGAAGAAATGTTATTTTTCTTCTAATTGATAATAATTGATGAAAAAATTCCACTTATACAGTAAATAAAGGGAGAAAGGGATATATGAAAAGGTAGAAGCTGGGGGAGAGGATAGAGAGACGAGAGTGGAAGAGGAGGTATCTGTTTAAAAAAAAATATATGTATAAGAGTGCCAATTCATTTGATCATAGTTTACATTTGAATAGACCGGTAGGCCGGTCTACTAACGTATTCCAATTTTATGACAATCTGAAAGTTGCCCGAGGCTTGCCCAACAAAGCGATATGTAATGTATGCAGACTGTGTTCCAAGTATTGTAGTTCATCATTAATAACAGCTGAATAGAATGATTTGTCACTAGGTCCCCAGGAAAAATTTGAATACATGTATGTTTAATAGTAAACCAGTCTACTCTAGTACAGGCAGGTTATTAGCGTTGAATTTTTTTATACTGTGTTACATACAGGCGTAAAATGAATGAGAAATATTAAACAACTTGAATTCCAATTTCTCTTGTACATGTATATACCTGTCATTATCACTTCTTACCGTGCATGGTGTTCATTTCAGAGTTTCATACGAGAGTGTCTCGGACGTCTGCGGCCTGATCCAGGCCACAGCGCTAAACGCTCTCAATGGTAACCATCCGAGCCACGTCGCCACCTTCGGGAGCTCACTGCCAGAAGTCGTGGGGGATTGGGTGGAGATCTTTGAGGACCCAATTTCTAGCAACCCGGTGGTGAGTGTATATTAAAGCCCGTCTGTACTAGTTTGGCCAGGAGGATTAGACCTCCGAGGGTGGTCACTGACAGTTCGCTCACTCAGGTCTCAATTAACATAAGAAAAAGAGGATCATGGGGACCAATGGTCCTCGATTGGACATTGTTTTCTATATAGAGGGAGCAAGTAGCTACAAGTAGTACAGTGTGGCTTTAAAGCCCCACATGCACTACTTACATGTACATTATAGCTACTTGCGCCCTCTATATAGCAAACAATGCCTAATCGGTGACCATTGGTCCCCCATGATCTCCTTATTCTTATGTTAATTGAGAGCTTATTTGATGAGACAACCACCTGTCAGTATAGCAAACAATATAGCAAATAATGCCTAATCAGTGACCATTGGTCCCCCATGATCTTCTTTTTCTCATGTTAATTGAGAGCTTATTTGATGAGACAACCACCTGTCAGTGACCAAGCTTGGAGGTTTAATCCCTCCTGGCCAAACTAGTGCGGTTTGGGATTTAAAGCATAAATAGGATAAATGGGATGAAAGATTTAATTGCATACTTTGCGTTTGTACCTAACATTTGATCAACCTCAAAAAAAAATCTTGAGACATTCTATGGACTAGGAGGGGTAAGGAGTATGAAGAAATTATATAAGAACACTTAACCCTTACTGTACTGGGGGGGGGGGGGGGGCTCCCAGGCCCCCCCCATCAACATTTTCAGAGATTGCGCCGCAACCGCTTGGAAATTTGAATTGTCGTTTCATGAATTTTTTCCCTCAAGTCTTACGCACATTTTGATACCATTTTCGCTGAAATCGGATATACCTATAAGGTGTTAAATAACAATTAGTATGCGCATGTCATCAAAAAAGTGCTATAATTGCATCTATTCATGTTCAAGCAGAAATGTGAAGATATGAATTGATATCAAATTGCTTTTATATGTTTCTCAAAGTAACTTGATGTATTTCAGAACAAAAGAATACATTAGAAATAAAACAATAGATATAATAAGAAATTATTAATTACATCAAATAACTGTTTTGTGTTAGAAAAGAAGTTTCATATGAATAATGAGTTTCAACATTCAAAAAGTGGAGTCTGACAATTTTTGTAATGATTCTTGTTCCCTATATATATTTCCAGATTTGATATTGATACAGAATTTGAAATGAAGGAAACATTTATTCCATACATTTTCAAGATTCTTCACAAGTCCACGGACAAATATGTAGAGTTTTCTGAAAAATGCATGAAATAAGCATTTTGCATAATTAATTAGGCTCTAACGAAGAAAATTTGCATATTAGGAAAAAACTAATTATACTATCTTGTTCCTTACGTAAATATCTAAACAAACGTGCAAATTTTCGCGTTCATCGGACATTCAATGGCCGAGATCATAGGGGGTGGGGGGGGGGGGGCCTCCCAGGCCCCCCCCCCCCCAGTCAGAGAGTGCTCGAAATAGCCCAGCACAGTTTGGAACCCAGTTAGACTTCAGGGCAGTGGTGTTTCACAAACATCTCATCGCAAGTTCACAGACATCGCATTAAAATATGTGTATTAAGGTTTAACACTGGTTTCATGAAACAATGTCCAGTTTCTTGATTTGATAAGGCAACTAGATAGATGGATTGGACATGGTGCCATTTGATCAATTACATTCTGACATAAAATAGAACTTGGTTTACTATGCAGTGGTAACTCCTTATAACAAGGTCCTTGGGACCTAGAAAATAACTTTTTTTTTGTTATATCAGGGTAAAAAATGAAAGAATAAAAAGAGCTAGGGCCAGCAAAATCACCTTGTTATAACAGATGCCTAGCTATATCAGAGATCTTTATACTGAAGTTCCATTGTATACAAATGATGTATGCGAATGGGTTCATTATACAACAAAGTATTTGCTCAAGTTGAGGCTGTATATATCTATCCTACGAATCCGTCAGGCTCAGTATGATAGGTGCATAAACAGGATCAACAGGAGCAGATAGATCCTGTAATGAACGAATAAAACATGCATTATTTGTTTTATACAATAAAACATCTGAGTGTCTTATTAGTTATCCGAATTTGCTCTTAACTTTTTTGATTGGTTTGTCTGCTTTGTCTGCTTCTATTGAGAGTAAGTTATTTTTGGAGTGGACTTGCCTTTAACCAATCACTTGATGGGGATCTAGGAGTGAGTTGCATATAACTATTTAAGCTTCTTCTTTTTTTTTTTTTACAGAGCAACGAGCAGGGCGTATGTAACAATATGTACATGGCTCTCCATGTAGAAGTGCTCTATGCCAACGTGGGAGCCTTAGCTAACCCACAAGCTAAGATCATCGGAGTCAGATATAATTATCCTGATGCATCGGGACAGACTCTCAGATATCAGGTAAGAAAGAGAGAGAGAATGAGAGAGATAGAGAAGGGAAGGGGAAGTGAGAGGAAAGAGAGAGAGAAGATATCATTCAAGTCTGATGTACTGGTAATTATCCTGATGCCTCGGGCCAAACACTCGGATATCAGGCGAGACAAGAGAGGGAAAGAGGTGGGGGGGGGGGGGGGGGGGGGGGGGGGGGGGGAAGGGGCGGCGAGAGAGAGAGAGAGAGAGATCAGGGTACCAAGAGATAGAGAATGTGTGCATGTGCATGTGTGATACTGATACCCCTTTCATAGTGATTCTATCAGAATCACACTGAAAAAAATACTGATTGAATTTTCCTTATGTAAACAAAGGTGAAATTAACAACCGCTTTCCCTGCTGTCCTTTTCACACTGCGGGTAAAATTCACTCGCTGTGGCGAGTCCTTCCTGGAAGTGAAGAATTATTGCGCAATTATTAAGACCGCGCCCCATCTAGCTATCATGCAGCATGTTCAACCATAAGTCAACAAACACAGCTGACTACGAAAAAGGGCGCATACACTGCAACCTTTGACCATTTTCATCAGTCTTTTAATCAGTGTTTTCTCCCGAACGCATTCACAGTGGCTGTTTCATCAGTGTCACACCAATAAAAAGAGAAGTTCTTCTGCTCTTGAGCAGAAGAATTTAATCACCTAATTCTCTTCTTTTCATCGGCTATTCTATGGGCTTTTCTCCTCTGTACCATTCATAGTAGCTGTTTCATCGGATGCGTTCGGATGCATCCAATGAAAATCAGGCCAGTTTGAAAGGAGTATGAGAAATGGGGATACAGATAGAGGGAGAGAGAGAGAGGGGGATAGCAGGAGAGAGACTCAGACTCAGAGATGGGGGGGGGGGGGAATTGTGGTAACAAAATTGATAAATACATGTACAAGTATCGATGTCATCATTTGTAGGTAAATGAATTGATAGCGCAATAGGAAGAGAAACAGAAAGAGCGATCATCATCAGAGAATATATGGCTAGTGTGGAAGTCTAGGAGCTCAAGGTTGGGACATTGGGGGAAGAGATTGAGACAAAGGGAGAGAGAGAGAGACAGGGGAGGAATGTAAGAAGAGATTAATAGGGAGGAAGGGATTGAGACAGGGGTAGGGGATAAAGAAGCGAAGAGAAAGGTATGATTATTAGATGATTAAATGAAGTAAAAGAGTTATATAGAAATGCATAGTTTGCATACATATCTGCACATTGACTTTACCTGTGCTTCAATTGTGTATGTACTGTAGCAGAAATCTCTATTCTCCTAAATATGTTTTCAGTGTCAATAAAAATACACCCAACAAGGTCTTATCTTCCTTCTCTCTCCATCTAACTCTATCTCTCTCTCCGTCTCTCTTTCTTCCCCTCTCTGCCTCTTAACTCTCTCTCTCCCGGTGTCTCTCTCTCTATGTCTTTCTGCCTCTATCCAACTCTATCTCTATCTCTCACTCTCTCTTTCTTCCTCTAACTCCATCTCTCTATCACTATCTCTCCATCACTCTCTCTCTCTTTCTCTTTCTACAGTGCATAGGCCCCTACTGCCAGCAAGGAGCCGAGTCTCTCGTTCAGAATTTTGAAGTGTCCGTCTCGGTGGAGTTCATCGACGCATCGACCAATCCGACTGCTTCCTGGGCCGAGAAACCAGCCGTCGAGTCCAAATTGCCAAATGACTTCTTTTATCCTTTCTCTGGGACTTCAAAAGCAGGAAAACAGTCTTTCAATATTATCGTCCATGTGGTGGTATTATTAGTGTCCGTTCTAGCAACATTATGATAGTAGGATTGGATTTGTATGTGTGCAATGTAGATGCTTCCTGGGCCCCTTTTCACAAGACTTGTCATCAGTGGCAAATGACAGTTTTTGTTATAAGCTAGTGAGATCCTTGCTTCTGATTGGTTATCAGCAGATTTGTCACTGATTTTTGTCATTTGTCATTGAAAAAAGGCTTTGTGAAACAAGTCCCAGGTGTTTTGTTGTTTTTTTCAAAATAAAATATTAGTGCTGGTTTTTCGCTATGCTCGTGGTAAAAGTTTAAAACAGGGAGGACCAATGATATGAGAGATATGAATATTTGAAATATGAGATCACTAAATCTCAAATTTGCATTTTGGTCAGTGGATTTCCACGTAGTCACGGACAACTCTCCCATTGCTGTGTACTAAAATATCAGTAATTTCTGGGGGTTTTCAAAGTGCCTTCTACTTTCTCTAAAAATTATTACATTTTAGTTATTTTGTATATTTGAAGAAATAGGAAAATTGTCCTGCACTCTGTCCTATTGATGTTACCGATTCAGCAAATTTAAAGTGCCCATACATATACTGGTAGTGATCACAACTTTCAAAATTCATAATTTTTGTATTATTTACTGATTTGATTTCATTAAAACTTTCACCAGTCTTTTGCTCAAATCAAATTTCAACCAAAGTATGGAATTCCTAATGATGTTCATGCCAGAGAGAGCTACATGTATGCAAAGTGTTAGTGACTGCTTTGGAAATTCACATTAATTTAATTATTTACTTGCCATCAACTAGATCATTGCCCTTATATTATTCTTTATATTTCAAGAATGCTAGAATGTATTCACACAGGTGACATTTAAATTGCCATTACAACTTCATTATTTAACTCTTCATCTGAACTCTATTTTGTATTAATCACTGCTTGCTATAGAAGTTTAAATTCAATCTTAAAGATAAAGTTGAGTTCTGGTCATGCGATTGCATTGTGAAATAAACGGTGTGGAATCGATCAGAAAAAAGTTGATCATGTAGTATATACATGCATGTATTGGTGTGTACTGCAAGGTTCTGGAATCATCAAAATGATTTTGAAATTTGGCCCAGTCTTGGTAAAAGTAACAAGCACTTTATACAGGAAGATATACCACACAAACATGTGGCATAAAAATGAGGTCCTCATTTTTAAGCTGTTACATGTCATATTTAGAATATGAAGGCATTTGAAGAGTCGTGCTTTTCAGGGAAACTCTTTAAACACAAAATATATTAAAGGTAATACAGAGTTTTGGTATGGGGTCATGTTTTTGGTTCAAATGAACATATTGGAAGCATAATTAATGCAAACATGTTGACATATTCACACAACTTTGTATTACTTTTAAGCAATAAGTACACACATGAAATGATGATATGCTGTATATTTCTTTATTCATATTTTGAATCAATGTATTTTGAAATGTTTGTACATGTAGATAATGTACATAGTGTTATTTATGAGATCTGGAAGGAAAATCCTGTTTTTCAACCTTCATATTGAATAAAAAATGAAAAATCAAGACAAAAGTGAACATTTTGATCTGTTGTCCTAGTACCTAGCAGTGCATGTGTGGTAAAAACGAAAGCTTGTTAAAAAGGACTTTCTATTTAAAATAAGAATAGAAGGCACAAGATAATAAATGATATATATTCAAATCTGTTTGAACTATGTTAATATGTGCCATAAAATCTGATAAGAAAAATCTAACAAACTTTGTACTTAAATGGCTACAGAAAAAAATGATAATAAAAAATGCATTACAGCAAAGATTTTTTAAATTAAGGCATTGAGCATGTGTAGTAAACATTACAGCTTGTTAAAAAGGACTTACTATTAAAAAAAAAACAATAAAAATTTAAAGGCTCAAAGAAAATGAATGGTATTTAAATCCTTTAGAATAGTATGTGCCATAAAATTCTGGGAAGGAAAATCCAACAAACTTTGGACTAAATGGTTAAAAGTACAAGATAATAATCATAATAAAAAATGAATTTAAAAGATATTGCATTATAGCCAAATTTAAACAAGCTTTTCAGCATTGTAGTCTTCATCATCGAGATCTTCTTCATATTGTTGAATATTTTCATTGACTAACCAAAACCATAATCCCTGATATGCATTTAAAAAAACTTGGTCCTCCTGCACTAAAAGCTCTCTAAAGCGGGACTGCACTACTTGTAGCTACTTGCGCCCTCTATATAGCAAACAATGCGTAAGCGGTACCCATTGGTCCCCCATGATCCCCTTTTTCTTATGTTATGCAGCGGTCACAGAGCTTCGTCAGACGATTATTTCGTACGAATCACCGTTGAATTTCCATTGTTTAAAAATTGTACGGCGTTCGTAGCAGTTCGTAATGGCATTTGTGACCGAGGCTTTAATTGAGAGCTGATTTGATGAGGTGACCACTCAGGGAGGTCTACTCCCTCTTGGCCCCATTAGTGAAGACGGGCTTTAAAAACGAAGGAAAGATAAAAAGTGACATTCCTGTCACCTTTGACCTCTCCCTTTCTGATTTTTAATCTGTGCCATGTCCCTCTTTGTAAAGACCTGCACACCCCTCTTGTATTTTCCAAGCTGCCCGTCCACATAGACCCCTTTCCTTTGCGTCTTGTCGGTCCAGAAGCCTTTATTCCTGAAAACAAAAATGAATTATTTCAAAATCACAGCAAAGCCAACTGACATTATCATACATGAATAATTGTACAGAGAAAACTGCCTATAATGACCATCCAAGGGAGACAAGAAAAGTGGTCTTTATAGGGAGGTGGTCTTTAAGTACAGGTTCCTTTAGTACATGTTTCAATGAGAAACCATTTTCAAGGGAAACAAAAAATATGGTCCTTGTTGACAGGTAATCTTTCTATACAGGTGGTCACCAAAGAAAGGTTTGACTGTAATAATAATAATAATAAACAATATTTATAAGGCGCTTAATACTGGTGTCTCTAAGCGCACCATATTCTGACTTAACAATTATTTACCAAAACTTATAATAAACACACAACTTATACATCTGTTCTTTATTCAATAAATCATGCATATATAATAATAAAAAATAAGATAAGAGTGAGATCAAACAAACATACATACAAGAGGTCAAACATAGGATCAAACATAGGATCGAACAAACAAAAAATAAGACGGTGTGCACCTCCTTTGACCGACTCACAACTGCACAATATTATTTATGAATTAAAAAGGTGCGTTTTCAGCAAGGACTTGAATTGGTCGAGAGAATGAATATTATGAAAGTGCGCTGGTAATTTGTTCCAAAGGATAGGGGCATTTACTGAGAAAGCTCGGTCGCCATATTTTGTAGCGGTACGAGGTCCGAGGGTTAACTGCAAGGTTGATGATGATCGAAGAGGTCTTAAAGAACTAGAAGAACGTAAGGAAATCAAATCTGAAAGATATTTAGGGGCTTGGCCATGGAGAATTTTGTATGTAAGAAGAAGAACTTTGAATGTGATACGATGGTGTATGGGAAGCCAATGAAGAGAACGCAATATTGGGGTTATGTGCTCAAACTTTCTCGAGAGAGTAACAAGCCTTGCAGCAGTATTCTGAATTCTTTGAAGTGGAAGTAGGTACGATTGCGGAAGACCAGAAAAAATTGAATTACAATAATCAAGGTGGGAGGATACAAATGCATGGGTTAATTTTGCAGTTGTGGGCCGGTCAAGTAGTTTCCTAATTTTCCCAATTTTGAAGATTCCAAAAGATGCCGATTTACATACGTTTTTAATGTGCTGTTGAAAAGTAAGATTTTTGTCGATTAAAACACCCAGGTCTCGAACGTATTCACTACCCTTCAGTGAGCCATCTCTGGTAACCAAGTCGGGGAAGGAATCGGTGTTTCTGAATTTGGAAGTAATGTGGATCATTTCAGATTTTCGTTCATTAAGGCAAAGTCTATTGTTAGAAGACCAGAACCTAATGTCTTCAAGGCAACTGCTGAGTTTCCGAGTCGCATCATCCTTCCCGTTAGGCTTAAGAGTTATATAAATCTGAGTGTCGTCAGCGTACATCGCATGTTGAATCCCCTGGTGAGAGTTAATGACCTTAGACAGTGGGCTGGTGTAGAGAACGAAGAGAAGTGGGCCGATTACGGAACCTTGAGGAACGCCGCAGATCAGTGGAAATGTTGCAGAAGGCGTGTCGTTGATGATCACACGTTGACTGCGATTGTGGAGATATGAGCGTATCCAATCAAGCACAGTTCCGGTGATGAAAAAGTCATTTTCCAGGCGATGAAGTAACAGGGTATGGTCGATGGTGTCAAATGCAGCCGTATAATCCAGGAGGATGAGCACGGCTTCATTACCCTTGTCTATGGGCAGGAGAAGATCGTTCAGGACTTTAACCGTAGCAGTTTCTGTTGAATGGTGGTTCCTGTAAGCAGATTGATGAACAGGAAGCATGCCAAATCTCTCGAGGTGGGCCTTCAGCTGAGCAGCCACAATCCTCTCCAAGACCTTATCTAGGAAAGGTAGATTTGCAATGGGCCTGTAGTTGTTCAGTCCATTTGGATCAAGGTTCAGCTTCTTGAGAAGAGGAAGGAGTATGGATGTTTTAAATGATTCCGGGACATGACCAGAAGACAAGGAGAGATTAAACATCTTGGTGATAACAGGGAGGAGTTCGTCAAGGGTGTCCTTCAAGAGCCACGTGGGAATTGGATCCAATTTACAGTGTTTAGATGCTGATGGTAGTGATTTGATGAGCTTCCTGACTTCCGAATCAGATACAAGACAGAATTGGGAAAGTTCATGATCAGACGACGGAGCGCAATATGTGACTGCTGGCACCGGAACTGAGTCAGTGAAGGAAGATACCAAATTGGATACCTTCTCGCTGAAGAACCTAGCAAACCTGTTGGCAAGTTCACTGTCAGATGAGTGATCCGGAATAATTGAAGATTGATTTGGTGATGAGAGTGACTTTACAATGCTGAACAGTTGTTTGGTGTCAGCATCTGCAATAAGATTCTTGAGATACGTTGACCTAGCATTGTAGATGCATTCGTAGTAAGAATCGCATTCTTGACGATACAGTTCCCTGTCAACACAAAGCCCTGACTTGATCATACAGCGTTCCGCCCGGCGCCTTCGTCTCTTTGCCTCCCGCACGTCTTCGGTAAACCAAGGCGCTTTAGGTCTAATTGTGACGGTTTTGACTTGAAGAGGAGCATGCCTATCAATCAAAGTACCCAAAAAGGAGTTGTATTGATCTGCAGATCTAGAGGGACATACAGGTTCAGAAAGTGGATGGAAGATCAGTTTAATGTCGTTGCGTAGAGAGTCCATATTGATGCTTCGAAATTTTCTGAAGCTCACTTCCTTCTTCGGGTTCTGGGGCCTGGTGAGGCTAACTTTAGCAACTAGTGCACAATGATCGGAAGGGAGTGAAGACAACAGCTTCACATGGTCGATGTCGTCTGAATCTCTGGTGAATAATAGGTCAAGGGTATGGCCTGCTCGATGCGTAGGTTCATGGACATGCTGCTTAAACCCAAGAGAATCAACTCCGCCCATGAAGGATTTTGCAAAATTATCATTGGGATCGTCAACATGTACGTTAAAATCACCTAAGAGTAGAGGGAAGTGATCGGTTACAGCAGCACCTTCAAGAAGAGTTAAAAATTCCTCCCGAAAGGTGCTGTTAGAGACATTGTTACTTGTGGAGGGAGGACGATAAATACAGTACAATCTAGCAGCAGAGGATGGGGTAAGGTTGATTATTAAATCAAGTAATTCAAAGGAAGAAAAATCATCATTGGAATTTACAGTACAACGAGCTGTGGATCTATAAAGTACAAAAATGCCACCACCCCTAGAAGACTTACGGGGTCGGTGAGTAAAATCATAATTAGGCAAGCATAACTTCATATCGGCCAAAGTGTGACCGTCCCTGTTATTATCCCCAGATAGCCATGACTCAGTTATGACTAATACATCAAGGTTATTGTCTACAACTAAATCAGTAACT